TCAAAGTAATTCTCAAAGGCATGCCCATAAGCCAATCTCCAGGTGATTCTAGATCCTGTCACACTGACACTAATTATGGGGGAGGAGGAACAACACTTAATTCTTGAAATTTAATACAACCCAATGTCTTGAACTCACGTCAATGGCCAAAAGTGAGTGTAGCAGAACTCATTCTAATAACAGCTAATTTGTGTGAGAGTTCCAAACTGGACACCAAAAATGTGCTGAAAAAATACAGTCTCCATCCTTGAGCTAATGGACAGACTGAGACAAAATCAATTATGTCACAGAGGAACATCTAGAGTGCTTTAGAACAGTAGAGAATATGTTTCAGAATGCTTCATAGGGTGACCATCATCAGGGAGAAATGGGATTGAATAAGGAGAAGTAGAGAGTAATAGTGTAGCATTGGGTGTGTCTCTGGAATAATTTCTATGCTTATATAACAATGCCATGAAATTATTGTTAGCATATAAGCTCCTATGAGATTTCATCTGTCTTGTTCACAATGCCCTGGGTCACCCTAGGTACTCATTAAGTGCAGATTCTAAAAGAAAACCATGTGAGTATCCATAACCCAAACATCCAAAGTCAGAAAGAAGCACTCCAAAATCTGCTACTCCATCCCAGCATGATGCTGTAAGACTGATGTTTCAATATTGATTGACTTAGTGTTGTGAATAAAAACTAGAAACAGCACTGTGCAAGATTATTACCTTGGTAAACCTTCACTGTCAACTTGACTCAGGCTAGAATCATCTTAGAAAAGAAGCAGCAACTAGGGAACTGCCTAAGTGAGCATGCCTGTGAGGGACTATCTTGATTATTGGTTGATGTAGGAGTATGCACCCCATGACTGAGGCACCATTCCTTAGTCAGTGGTCCTGGGCTGTTTAAAGCTAGTTCAGCACGAACCAGGAAGTGATCCAGAGATTGAGCTAACAAGCATCATTCCTCCATGGTTCATGATTCCAGGTTCCTGCCTGACTCCTCAGTGATGGATTGTGACCTGGGAGTTGTGAGATGAAATAAACCCTGCCCTCCTCTAAGTTGCTTTTGGTAAGAGTGTTTTATCGTAGCAACATAAAGGAAATGAGCAGACATCAGGTCATAAAACAGGTGAAACATAAGCAAATTTCAAGTGACATCTCATTATTTATTTTCAAATATCCCAAGATCTGAAATGCTTGCCCAACCACTTCAGACAAGGGGTCCTCAAGTCATGATTTTTTAAGTAAGCAAGTGAATTCTCCATGAACTGTTCCTAGAGTTCAGAGTTTATATAAGGAATGGTGTTGAGGCAAAAGAGACAAAATTAAGACATCATTAGAAGACTGGAGTTTATGGTGAGGCAAAAAACACAGAAGAATCTTAGAAAAGATGTCACAAGCACGTTTGTGGTTTTGAGATTCATAGAAGAAGGGGTATATAAAAGGCACAAAACTGAATACAGAGAAAGTTGTGTTGCTACTGTTATAGCCCATCTTAAAAGTGGACAGTTAGGAAACAAAGGTAATGTCACTTAAGCCACCAGAATGGCTTACATAACAAAAACTGGTGATACCAAAAGTTGTCAAGGATGTGGAGCAACTAGAACACTTATCCTCTGCTGGGACAGTTACTTTCTGGAGCTGCTGTTGTAATTCAGTTGCCTAACTGGCCCTGGCTTAGTTCCCAGAATGGTATAAACTGAGTGTGATTGTGCATCCAACAATTCGTGGTTATTCTTGGGTATACTGCATGGTAAAGACCAGCCTGGGTTGCATGAGACCCTTTCTGGGAGAAGAGCAGGAGAAGACAGAGAGAAACGGACAGACAGAGAGAAATATAGAGAGAACTTCTATCAAGTTTAATCCCATAATTCCTACCTTTAGGTGTACAGCTAGAATGAATTCTTACATGCAACCCCCAAATATACAGACAAGAATATTCCCAAAAGCATTATTCCCCCATAGCTCCAGTGGATAAATTATGTCATACTCATGCAAAGGAATACTGAAACACATACAGACTGCTGCTGAACAGAGAAATACCATGAGCATGATACTGAGTAAAAAAAAAAAAAAAAAAAAAGTTGGACACAGAATACTGTAGGGGTGAAGAAAATCCTCAGTGGTTAAGATCACCGGTTGGTCTTCCAGAGGACTGGGGTTTGATTCCCAACACCCCCACAGCAACTCACAACCTTCTGTAATTCCTGTTCCAGGAGATCCAACACCCTCACACAGACAAACATGGAGGCAAAACCAATATACATAAAATACAAAAAGGTTTAAAGAAAAAAGAATACAATCTATAGAATTCTACCTGTACAGTTCAAAAATATGCAAAAGCAACCCATTGTGAAGAACTCAGAATTGAGGTTGCTTTTGAGCATAACACAATGATGTGAGATGATAGACATGGTGTCTGGGGATGGCTATACAATATGATTCCTTCATAATAATTCTCTTAGCTTTTTACTTAAAAGTTATGGAATTTTTGTGCAATTCTGGCAAATGTAATAGGGTGGGTGACAGTCCCCTGTGGTACTTTCAATGTATCTCTAGAAAGATGTCAGACTCCACAGTATCCATGGTTCTTATTGCTCCTGGTGGCTGTGCAGCAGGAATCTCATAGCCCCATAACCATGGAAACCACCCCTCTCCAGAGCTGTGCCCCATTTTTTTTGTACCACCCCACTATGAGACACAGCTTTTTCCAGCTAGAGAATTCTCTCCAGAGGCTCCCCCAACCCCTCTTTCTTTCTGTCTTTCTCTCTCTCCCTCTCTCTATTTAGTTAGTTTACACTGTCCTTTGAAGTAGGAAGTAAGCTGAAATAAATATCTTCTAACAGATAGTCGGTAGTCCAGAGGGCCATCTAGAATTACATGGTGTTGATCATGGGAACAGACACACCTTTTCTCTGTGGATGCTTTGTTTGCCTCAGATGGTCTCACTCATACCTCCAACTACATTGGAGTCCTCTGTAGCAGAAGAAAAGATAAAGCTTTAGGAGGCTCCTTGGACATAAAATCTGAAAGAAGGTCAATGGGAGCCACTGCTCTTGCATGGTGATTCCCAGCTCCCATGAGAAAAACAGAGACTAAGTGGAATTCAGAACCTCCCACACCCTGCATTCCATTCCAGCTCAGGCTTCAGACAAGGGATGAAGTACTTTTAAGACCCAATAGTGAAACTCCCTTCATGCCCCAGGTTGCCATCCTAATACTAGGAAGAACCCCCACTCCAGCCCCCAAAACAAGGTCTAATGTAGCCTAGGCTGTCGCCAAACTCACTATGAAACTCAGAAAAATCTTGAACTTTGGGTGCTCCTGCCTTCTTCACCTCCTGGATGCTGGGGTTACAGGTGTACAACACCACAGTTGGCTTATGAGCTGCTGGGGGTCAAAGCCGGACTTTGTGTGTGCTAGGCAAATATTTTCAGACTGAAATTTTCCCCAACCTTAAAAAAGGAGACCTATTGGTAGATCCCTTTTGATGCCTTCCTCCCCTGCCCAAAAGCCAGGAGAACTATTTATAGGAAGTTGACTACAGACTGGCAACTCAGATAAACCATGAAATTCTGCACCCACACATAGGTCACTCTATACTCAAGACTCAAAAGAACATTGTGCTGTCTCAGAAGTGGATTGGAGGCCGGGAAGGTAAGTGAAATGAGACCAAGATATGGAAATAAGCCACACCTGGGGTTGGCCTTCATGGAGTGAATAAAGCGGCAGCCCCGGAGGGGAAGCTGGTGAGCGGGGGAGCAGAAACAAGAGGTGTGGGGACAGTTACTTTTCTGAAGCACACTGAGCACAGACGTTTGTTCTGGGATATTCCAGCCCCTACTCCAAAGTCGTAACACATTCCTAGCTTCAAAACCTTCTTACCAGAAGCTCAAGTCTTCAGCTGATCCTTGCCTGCGTTTATTTACATTCTTCCCTGGATCCAAATAGTGAATGCATCTAGTATTGACTTGGTGGTGGGTTTAAAGGGCAGGTTGATCTCCTTATTTCATTAACTGCAACGTGCTTGTTTTGTGTGTTCATGTGAGTGTGTGCAAGAGCTTCTGGAAGCCAGAGGACAACTTCAGCATGGTTCCTCAGGAGCCATTCACCTTCGTGGTTTGGGGTCTCTCATTGGAGATCACCAATTTTCTAGACTGGCTTGCCATCAAAGCCCAGGGATTGTCCACCTCCCCCTCCCCTGCTCAGGGACTGTGACCACGCACTCCACCACACCCACCTCACTCTTTAGCTGGGTTCTAGCTAAACAAGGCCTTTTATACCTCATGCTTGTGTACCAAGCACTTCACCAGCTGAACTGTCTCCCCAAGCCAAACATTGAGAGAACTATTTAAAAGATGCTCCAACAGGACATGTTTGGTGTGTGCCTGTACTCCTAGCCCTGCCGGGGTAGAGGCAGGAGGATCAGGGCTGAACTTTATGGCCAGTCTTGGCTACCTAAGACCTGTCTCAAAGAGGAAGAGAGATAGCTCGTTATCTTACATACTACTAAAAATGTGGCAATTAAAATATACCACCCATTATGAAGTGTACCCTGAGTTGGAGTTGGGGGAAAAGTGAAAAACATGCACTTGTAAGAGTCAAATATACAACCATGACCTGGGCAGAAGTCACAGAAAAACTTAGTTTTAGAAAACTGTGTATATAAATGAAAAAACCAATATGTAAGGAGCTCCGATCATCTCCAGTTTGGTCAAATGCTCTAGGGCATATATTAAAAAGGATTATATAGAGACCTGGAGAAATCTTATCACCCATTTTGAAAGAATAGCACATTATCTATGGCCACATCACCTGAATGCACCTGATCTTGTGACAAATAATAGAAGGTCATGAACTTAATCTAGTTGGTGTGTATTTATACTTGAAGTGCCTTAAAAATTATGGAAATGAGAAACAATTTTACAGACACAAAATTCCTTGACCCTTTCGCATCTTTGCAGTGCTTGAATCAATAAACATTTTTGTGCCTTTATGTATTTGAAACAGATTTTTGAATTTCACGGAGCTGATGCTAAAAAACTGGAATTGAAGATTCAAGAGCTAATGTGAGCTGCCACCCAAACCAAATATACCTGTGACGTTTTCTAAAGCAGCAGCAAATGTTTTATGTTTTGATTTCTCAATGTGTCCTATTGTTTGCTTTCTATCAGTCTCTCTCCTGGTGTTTAATGGGAAGAATGTGGCATTATGATCCTCCCAAGACCTTGATCAGAACCATTGCAGAAGCAGAGTTGTGTTACTTCCATTCTCTTTAGTCAGCCTTGCTCTGGGGATGTTCCTTGGGTTATGTTATTGTGACCTTTACAGTGGAGCCCATATGAAGCTAAGTAATAGCAGGAGGTCACCAAGGTTTTCCAGAGATAGTCAAAGATGTAGTTGTTCACATGATCAAAGATCTTAGGTATGCCACTGTTGAGGTTAGGTGGGGATACCTCACTTTGCCCTGTTTTGTTTTGTTCAGGGACCAAGAATCAAGCTTAAGGCCCTCACATGCTAAGCAACAAGGCCTTTTACCATTGAACTGTACCAACAGCCTAGGAGACACCACTTGTCCCAGTTTGCTCTCTATTGTATGATAAAAAACCAAGACAACTTAGGAGCACACAGTCCTAAATGAGATGTCCTCATCAAACCCCTCCCCACAAGGCTCAGGGATCTATGTGGAAGATGGGTGACCCCAAAGAAATAGTGTCTTTCAGACACAACAGGACTGACTGACACACATATAAAATCATAGGCACAGTAGCACAAGACCTGTACATAGTCATGCTAGACAAGGTCCCAACAATAAGAGGAAGTGGACACGGACTCCCACCCCTAACTGAGAAGCTATCTGCAATCGATACACACTGGATGGAAAAAATTAGTTTTCACCAATGGAGTCTCACTGGGTATATTAACCATACTTCAGGGCAGTTCCCATGCTCAGAAGTTGACCAACTGGAAATTAACTCAGGTATTTGTGTAAACTTTTTTGTATCATTGTGATATGTTTGGGCTTGTTTGGTTTGGTTTATTGGTCTTCTGATTGTTATTTTGATTTCCCTTTTTGTGGCTTTGTTCAGGATGGGAATGTTGTGTGTGTTTCTTGTGAGGTTTTGGATTTTTTGTTTGTCATTTGCTTTAAAGAGAGAAAGAAAGAAACTACAGAAAACAAATGAGATTGGAGGATCTGGAGATTTGGGCGAGGGGAAGAACACGATCAAGATATATTGTATGAAAACATTTTTTGTCAATTAAAAAACATTAAGGATGAAGAAGATTCAAGCTTCAGGCCTGGAGCAGTGTCAAGGGAGCCACTAGCCTCAGGCCCAGGAGCAAGGAATGATCAAAGTTTCCAACAGTAGCTTCCAGAAACTATTGCAAGAAATTCCTCTGGGAAAGAACACCTATGTCCCAGCCAGCATCCACCACCATTTCTAGGTTGGAGATACACCGCTACTACATTGATCACTGGACCCTCAGGCTCTCCTACACCTCCAACTGTAGCCCTACCTATACCTCAAGGAGCAATCACCTGAGCCTTGGGCCCACTTGCACCAGGAGGAGCATTCACCAGAGACTCTGCTCTGCTTGTGCCTGAAGGAGCCGTCAGCGGAGCCACAGCTCCCATCTATACCAATTGAAGAAAAAGAGACCCCCCCAAAGCACAACCTCCACCAATATTAATTAGAGGAAGAGATGCATAGACAACAAGGTAAGAACACCCTCAACAATATAAAAAGAAATACAGCACCACTAGAAACTAGTAGTGTTACAACAGCAAGACCTAAACATCCCAACACAGATGAAGTAGGGAAAAAATGACCTAAAAAATAACTTTATGAGATGATTGAGGCCCTTAAAGAGGAAATGAAAAACTCCCTTAAGAAATGGAGGAAACGACAAGCAAAAAGTTGGAAGATACCAACAAATCCCTTAAAGAAAGTAAATGATTTCAGACTTGAAATCTGAAATAGAGGCAATAAAAGAAAACACAAACTAAAGTAATTCTAGAAATGGAAAATCTAGGTAAATGATCAGGAACCATAAATGCAAGCATAAGCAACAGAATACAAGAGATAGAAGAGAGATTTTCAGGCATTGAAGATAACAATAGAGAAAATAGACTCATCGGTCAAAGAAAATTTTAAATTCAACAAATGCTTAACACAAAACATGCAGGACATCTGGGATACCATGAAAAGACCAAACCTAAGAATAATAGGAATAGAAGAAGAAGTCCAACTCAAAGGTACAGAAAATATATTTAACAAAGTCATAGAAGAAAACTTTCCCAACCTAAAGAAGGGCATGCCTATGAAAACACAAGAGGTTTACAGAACACCAAATAAACTAAAGCAAAAATTTAAAAAAAAAAAAGGCCCCTCACCACATAATAATCAAAACAATAAACATACAGAATAAAGAAAGAATATTAAGAGCTGCAAAGAAAAAAGGCCAAGTAACATATAAAGGCAGACCTATCAGAATTACACCAGACTTCTCAACAGAAACAATGAAAGCTAGAAGGTCCTGGTCAGGTGTTATGCAGACACTAAGGGACCATGGATGCGAGCCCAGACCACTTTACCCAGCAAAGTTTTCAATAACCACAGATGGGGAAAAGAAGATATTCCATGATAAAACAAAATTTAAACAATACCTATCCACAAACCCAGCCCTACAGAAATGCCAACCCAGGGAAATCACCTACATCCACAAGAACACAAGAAATAGATAAGCTTACAGCAGCAAATTCCAAGTAAGGAAATTTAACACACAATGCCATCACCGACAACAAAAACAAAAATAACAAGGGCTAGCAATCACTGGTCATTAATATCTATTAATATAAATAGTCTCAACTCACCTATAAAAAGACACAAGCTAACAGATGGGATATGAAAGCAGAAACCATCCTTCTGCTGCACACAAGAAACACACCTCAACCTCACATACAGACATTACCTCAGAATAAAGGGTTGGGAAAAAAATTCCAATCAAATGGACCTAAGAAACAAGCTGCTGTAGCTATCCTAATACCTAAAAAACAGGCTTAAAACTAAAATAAATCAAAAAAAGATAAAGAAGGGCATTTCATATTCATCACAGGAAAAATCCATCAGAGGAAATCTCAATTCTGAATATCTATGTTCCAAACACAAGGACTCCTGCATTTGTAAAAGAAACATTACTAAAGCTTAAATCACAAATCAAGCCCCACACACTAATAGTGGGAGACTTTAACACCCCACTCACACCACTGGACAGATCTGCCAGACAGAAACTTAACAGAGAAATAAGGTAACTGACAGATATTATGACTCAAATGGACTTAACAGACATCTGTAGGACATTCCACCCAAACAGAAATGTATATAATTTCTTCTCAGCACTTCATGGAACCTTCTCAAAAATAAAACACATACTTGGTAACAAAGCAAACCTGAACAGATACAAAAAAATTACAATCAACTCCTGTACCCTATCAAATCACCACAACTTAAAGTTAGACTTTAACAGCGTTTCAGAAAGCCCACAAACACATGGAAATTGAACAATGATCAACTGAACCACCACCGGTTCAAGAAACAGATAACAAGGAATGAAAAGACTTCCTAAAATTTAATGAAAATGACCGCACAACATACCCAAACTTATGGGATACAACGAAAGCATTGAGAGTTCATAGCAGTAAATGCCTCCATAAAGAAGCTGGAAAAATCTCACACTAGTGAATTAACAGAACAACTGAAAGCACCAGAACAAAAAGAAGCAAACTCATCCAAGAGGAGTAGACTGCAAGAAATAGTAAAATCGAGGGCTGAAATCTATAAAATAGAAACAAGAAAACAATTCAAAGAATCAATGAGATAGAGTTGGTCCTTTGAGGAATTCAACAAAATAGACAAACCTTTATCCAAACTACCCAAAAGAGAGAGAGAATATCTAAATTAACAAACTTAGAAATGAAAAGGGGGACATAACAACGAACACTGAGGAAATCCAGAAATCATTAGATCATACTTCAAAAACCTGTACTCCACAAAATTGGAAAAATTTAAGGAGAAGGACAATTTTCTAGATAAGTACCACATACCAAAATTAAATCAAGAACAGATAAACAACTTAAATACACCTATAACCCCTAAGGGCCTGTGCTGCCACTGAGGGCCATATCTGGTTCTGTGGCTGAAATGCAGCCATGGTCTGTGATGATGTCTGTGGCCCATGTTACCTCCAATGCCACAGGTCTGACACCACCTTGGTGTCAGAGGGCCACTAGTGGCCTGCACGGGCACTCAAAGTCATGCTAATGTGCACGCCAAAGCTGCAGTTGATGACCATGGCTAGGTCCATGGCCCTACTGTAGCCATGGTTTGTGTTCATGTTCGTGACCTGTGTTACCACGGGGAGCCGTGGGACATCTGGCCCTTGAGGCCTCAGCCCCAGAGAACTGGTCCTGCCTCTAACCGGCTGCCTTAACAAGAGAACTGCCCTCCTCTCCGAGGAGAACTGGCACTAGTCACATGGGCAAGGGAGAGCTGGCCCCAGCCCTCACCATGCACACAGGAGAGCTGGTCCCCAGAGCAAGGGCATGGGAGAGCTACCCCTGACCCTTGCCTGGGTGGGGTGGTGGTCCTGGTGGAGGCCCAGACTGGCCAATTCAGTTATCATCCAGGCCCACATCCAGGGCTTTGAGTTGACCATCCCACACTTATCCCATCAATGACCTGCTGAATCTCCATGACTCAGGGCAACAGCAGGATAGCTATTGGGAAGGGTCCAGTAGTGATGGTGTAGCATAAACCAGAGTCCTTGAACCAGTCCAACATATCGCAATGAACATTTGCAAGCAAAGTTGTTTGGGAAAGGGGGTATACGTTGACACACCATGTCTCCTAAGACCACTGACAATAAATATATATATATATATATATATATATATATATATATACACATTGAAGAGGCTGGAAAAATGCAGGAGTGAAATTTTTATGGTGGTGTTTGTTTTATTGTGCTGTATTTGTGGCAGGGGAGGATACAAGGGTGGAAGGCAGACAGGA